ATTTTTTCTCTTTTTTTATGTATTTTCTACCTTCTGGCTTGTTTGCATATTCCTTGGCTCAATTTATTCATGATTTAGTTATTAATACTTTTTTATTTTTCTTAGTTTAGCTTGCTCTCTCTGGCTCGTCATCCTTTTCTCACTCCAAATGCGAAGCTCATCCACGACTTCTCCCGGTCACTGTCCCCTTTCATCCCCTTTCAGCTCTATTCTTCTTCCCTCTGAATCTTTACCATTATATATATATTTTTTATTTATTTTTTACTCTCTTCTTTGCTCGACAAAAAAAACTGACAACCACTTGTTTTCGTTGATGTTTCACAGGAAGAGCCCAAGTTGGACATCTCCCCACGGAATTGGCCATCTGAGAAGAAATCATACGAAACAAACTAGACATTAGCAATCAATGAAACAAAGACATGGGAATGGCGTTCTTCACAAAGTATGGCTGAAACAAACTTGGGCTCTTCCTGTGAAACATCAACGAAGTTTCGCCCCCTTTCTCACTCTCTCTCTGAATTCTCTTCTCCTCTCTGAACTCTCTTCTCGTTCTCCCTCTTATTTCGCCCCCTTTCTCGGCTCTTCTTGCCACACCGAAAATGAAGCGCCTAGGCCTCCTTTTAAAGAAGACTCAGGGGCAGATTCGTAAATTCCTGCAAAATTGGGGGAGGCTGAGGGTTTTATTCACGCGGGTCAAAAACGGGGTTAAAGGGTTAAACCGGGTTTGGTTTGATGGTGGGTGATTTCGGTTAAAGAGGATTGAGACTGATTCGGCCATAAAAAGGGTTTTGATGTGTGGGCTAGTGGCATTGGCCGAAATGGAATCTTTTTGGGTGGAAGGGTTAACGAGGGTATTTTTGGCTCAAACTTTGTAGGGTGGGGTTTTCGGACATTCCGGGTTGATTGGGGAGGTCAAATTGGCCCGAATGGGCCCGGATTGGACAGATCTGGAAAGGGTTCAATTTAATTAATCTGGAGGCTCGAAATAGAATCTTTGTGCGATTGAGGGTAAATGAAGGTGTTTTGGGATGAAATTTCATAAGTAGGGGTTTTCTAGTATTCTGGGGTGATTGAAAAGGCTTGATTGGCTTAGATGTGTTCGGATCAAGTGGATATGGGTTGTGGGTGCGGGAATGGTTGGAATGAAATCTTTGTTTGATGGATGGGCGAACGAAGGAATCTTGAGTTCAAATTTTGTGGGTAGGTGTTTTGGGATGTCCTGAGTCTGATGGTTGTGTCTGATCTAATGGTTGAGGTGTAAGTGAGGGTCGATCGGGGCTATCAGGTATCGGGTAGGTTTAATGGTGGATCTGAGGGCTCTTAGGGTGAAATTTGGGTTTTCTAGGTTTTTTCGGTGTTTCAGAGAGGTCGGATGGGTCTGATCGGGTGTTTGGGGTGAATTGGAGGCTTAGGCGACGGATCGAGCAAAAATCGGGTGCTGACAACAAGACATTTATTTGCTGAGTTATCTGGGACACTAATGGAGAGGGGATCCCTGAAGCAGTCAGGGGAAAGGTAAACTGCCTGATAGTCATTGAGAGGCCTTGAGGGAGTGACGTTTGGTGATCCTGCCCCCTTCCCCCAGTGACGTTCATGTCAATGCCCTTACCAGTGTTGCTAGAAGATGCCACTGAAAAAAGAGTGTAGTGGTTGATGAAATCTATATTTGTGAACTTCAATAAGTAGGGATAAACGGATCTAATTGGATTCAAATTAAGGTATATCTGAATCCGATGCAATACATTGTAGATCCGGTCCAAAAATTCGATTGGATTTCATAAATATTGATTCAAATCGAATCCGATTCTTGATGTAAGGCCATGGTGGTGGTCTTGGCTTTAAAATTAAGAAAGAGATAAAAATGAGAAATTGTAATTCGATAAAGTTAGAGTTTAGGAAAAACGATGACAAAGTGAAACGAATGAGAGCTGATATGGGATAGGTGAATGAGTCCCCCGTCCATCAGAACTTCAGAAGGATGGCTATTTATAGAAGTGGAGAAGGGTTCATTCACTTCATCATTCAAATGTATAGAAAGGGAAATTCTACAATATTCTCAGGGAGGTTAACTCGCATATCTAAATTCATTCGATGGGGCTATGCATCAGATCCAAAGGTGTGGGAACCAATTATCAGCTAAGGCAGATTGTGATGACCTTCACCTTTATTATCCTACCACGTATTGCATGTGGAACACCTCTTTATGTCTCACATGCCTTACTTTTGTTCTACGACTTGGTAGTTTACTTTTGTTCCGTGGCTTGGAATCTAGAAATTGTGACCATAATGCTTCAACAATCCGCGATTCTGGGAGATGACCGTGGTTGCCTTGTAGACCTGTTCATGGGTCGGGTAGCTCGATGGCCCGGCCCGGCCTGGTTCGCACCCCGGTTGGGTTTGGTCATGTAATTAGGTCTATGGGCCTGACCTCGAGCTTAATATAGTAAGCCCGACTGTGTTACGGGTTGGGCTTGAGATTTGTCAAAAAAGCCCGGTCCGAGCTTGGCTCAGCTCGACTCAGCATTATATATTTTATAAAATACATAATACGTATTTTATATATTATATGAAATATATAAATAATATAATATACATTTTTTTATTTTTTTCTTTATAATTTCTCTCTTACTCTCACTCTCTCTCTCTCTATTCAGTCGCTTCAGCAGTAGTAACAACATGGGCTAAATTTCAGGCTTGGGCCCGGGCCCGGGCTTCGGGCTTTTTATGAGGGCCAGGCTCGGGCCCAAGTTGTAGGCCCGATGGTCGGGCGGGGCTCGGGCTCGGGCCTTAAAAAATCTGTTAATACAGAGTGAAAGCCCAGCCCGAGCCCGACCCGACCCGACCCATGAACAGATCTATTGCCTTGTAATCATATTGCCACCATAGTTATTGCATGAGACCGGATCAACTCCTCACAAGGGCACCTCACACTGACCTCCGTACTTATATGCTATATCAACATTTTAAAAAATGATCTAGAAACGGAACCGGGCCACTGGTTTTTGGGTTGACGGTTCAACCGTCTGGTTTGAACGGATAGCTCATTCAGACAAATAAATTAAAAAAATAACAAAAAATGGTTAAAAACCGTTGAACAGGTCGACTGATTGACGATTTGATTACCCGGATCAATGGGTTATTGACTTTTTCAATGATTTTGACCAAAAAGCGAGTTTTAGGTTAAACAGAACTGGTTGTCTAGACGGTTCCTAAACCAAACGGTCTGACCATCCAGATCAACAACGGTTTAAAAACCTTGCGTTATATTCACAGGAGATATTCCTAATGCATGATGAGATGTGCCTGTGAGATCGTGGTGTGGCGCTCTGCATGAGGAGCATATTCATATTCAGTCTCTACCGCCCTACATGAGGACAGTCTCTTATTGTACCCGCTGCTGGCCAATGTTATCGTAACATATATATCAGTCGTATATAATTCCATCCTCATATAAAGTAAAATTTGAGTTACATTTATAATATATATTTATAATCTATTATATATTTATAAATATCATATATATATTTATTTTTTTTGAAATCACATTATATTATATAATCTATTATGGAATTTATGGGTCATACTAGTTGATGAAGGAAGATTTGGCCCGACCTCTTGACCACTCAACACGTGGTAGAAGCAACAGCTCGGCATGGCAGTACGCTCAAGGCGCGAGCTCCGAGAGGAAGAACCAGCGGTCCGAGCTCCCCAAAAGGAGCCCGAACTCTCCCTTTGACCCCGAGCCTTACGAGGAGTGCAAAGGGCAACAACCCGAACTGGCCCGCCCCAGGGTAGTTCGGGCCACACCTCTATCCGAACTCAAGACTTCACCTCGCACACCACTCCAGCACTTCGTCTCCAAGACGCCAAACTGAACAACCGTACCTGACCTGACACCAAAGGAGTCCGTATCCTGAGGCGGTGCACCTGACTGACTTAGGATCTGACGCTTGACAGCCGCACTTCGACGGCCACTTGCCACCGCCACTTCTATTCACAGAGACGGCTCCGACAAAGAGAGCAGTGGCGGTTATTTGCCCCAACAGAGGTGATGACACCCGAACTGGCAGAAGTGTAGAGGTAATGATACCCGACCTGATAGGAGCTTGAGAGTGAGTGCGCGAAGTGGTTATAAAAAGGTTCCCTTCCCCCCCAAGAAGGAGGTATGTGATAACTTTGCGCCATCCGGTTTTTTATCTTGCCTTTGAGGAAATACTAACTTGAGCTTCGGAGCTCTCTCACCGGGTTCTTCCCTGGAGATTACTCGCTTTCTTCTCCGTTTCAGGCACCTTTTGCTCTAGCCAGAGGCAAGATCGTCGACAGTTAGGACCAGCCGGATTGCGCTCCATCACTAGTTTTAATGGTTTTTTTTTTTTAATTTTTAGAGGGAGAAAGTTGGTCAATGAGATTTTGATTCCTATTAACCAAGAAATTTATATTCTTTTTTTAGATTTATGTGAGGATCAGGGAAAGTTTATTTTCTTGGGTGTCACATAAATAACTTTTTCACCTGGGGAAAAGTTACCAATACTTGAATAGAACAAAAATATCCCTTTTAATATTGATTTTTTATGATTAAAATGGTCATTCCCTTATTTACATGAAAAGTAAAAGAACATATATAAATAAATTTTCCACTCAAGTAAATGAATTTACTCGAATAAATAACTTACGAAAAAATGAATGGAATAGAAACTGACCTAATGCAAATTTCTAATTAACATTCAAAATATCAAAAAACCCTCATTCTATACATGCCCGCCGGCATCAATTCCAAGCCGGCATCCACCCCAACTGTGCCTAAAAATTTCCTAAATAATTCGATTATTCTGGGACAGGCCGGACCGGAGTTCTGGGCTGGACTAGAATTGACCATGAGAAAACAACGTTAAAATCGTAAGTAAAACAAATATGTTAATTGGTTATTTGCTTTGAATTTTCCTAATTAAGAAAAATCTAAAAAAGTCCCCGTTTTCAAGCATTCAATCGTTCAACAAAATCATCCTTGTCATTCCATGCTTTTCTCTGGTCAAATCCTCTCCTCGAAATCCTGGACCTTGGAGGGAAAGTAAAAAGAATTTGTTTATTCTTCTGCATTCTGTTGTTTCGAGTGCTTGTTTATTTTCATCGGAGATTTTCGCCTCCGCCTCTTGACGTTCAATCTCCATTTCAAAGATGCACGACCTTCTATCAGTTAGTATTCAGCTTTCGGAATCTATTTTATCTGTTTTTTTTTTTTTTTTTTGGTGCTGGGTTTTGGATTTGTTAAGCTCGGTTTAAATGACGTTTATATTAACAGAGATTTCTCCGGTATCTCTTTTGATTCAGCGAGCGAGACTAACTTTTTTGCTGAACAATTATGGTTTTAAATAAAATTTGATTAATTTGTGGTTGTCGAGGGTGAATTTTTTTATCCAGTATTGTTTTTAATGGGGGGGGGGATGTTTTGCAGGGTTCCTTTGATATCCCCAGACGTCAACCTTCAAGTAGTAGAGATGTTGAATTGGGCGCACCACCTCCAACGAGTTCAGGAGATTTTGGCTTAGAGAATTTCTTTAAGCAGGTTGCCGCGCCTTATCTCAATTATCAATACTTGTTTGTGTTGAACAACAAGAATGGCAGATTTCACCGAATCCTTTCCAGTAATCATTCTGGGCATGGTGTTTTGATGAATGCTAATGATTTATTGCATCTCTATTCAGCATTTTCAAATGATTTTTTCGGTTTTGTTCTTCCATTAGGTTGAAGATATTGAGAAACAAATTGATAAGCTCAACAAGCTATTGAAAAAGCTCCAGGTTTGGATTTCATTTTCCTGGTTTGATGGAGATATCTTGATTGCTTTTGTTTAGAGGGGTTAATCAACCATCTAGTTCTTTGTCCCACAAATATATTATTTACTATTTAATTTATTCAATTCCACAGTTTGCGTACCTGTTTTAGTAATGCTCTTTTTTATTTTTTCTGTTAAGAGAGTGGTGCCCATAATTCCTTGCTAACTCTAGCTTTACGTATTGATCCACCTCATAACACACCAAGAAAAAATGAAGGGAGAGAGAAAAGAAAATGTGTAAGGTCAAGGTTCGAAGTTTAATTTGGTAGTGCAGAGAGTTTGACAAAGATAAGTTTGAGAGACATATTGGGATGGGAAATGCTAGGAATTGGTGAGAAAAGAAATATATACACAAATAGTTGAATATGCTAGAGAAACTTACAAATGTCACAATAACATACTCAACTCCATTAGGCCTTGTTCTAACTATATGGAATTGGTTACATGAATCCTATTCTGCTATTCTACTCTGTCCTGTTCCCCATCCATTGTTAAATTATGGGCCTCTAAATCATTTTTCACTACTTCAACTAATTTTCTTTTTGGTTAGCCACTACATTTTTCTTGTTGTTATTGCTTTTCCACGTAACTAAGATTCCTCTTAAAAAAGTGTAGTAACTAGTAGTAGATTGATGGCCTGAAGGAGAATCAACCCAATTTGCATCAACATACCCTAAAATTTTTAAGGGTGCAAGTTGGGATAGGTTAGGTTGGGTTGAGGGCAACCCTAACTCAACCTGAGTTGTTGAACCCCAAACCCTAACTCTAACCCAACCTGACTTTTTCAAGTTCGATTTGGATTCATTGGTCCAGTTTATTCACTTCATTTTGCTGAAATGTTACTTAGTTTTTCAGACTTAAGATTATGGGATCAAAGGTTCATTGATTTTAGTATTATTATATGTACAAAAATAAAGTTATGGTGCTTAAAAAGTAGCATACTTAAAACCTTGATTTTAGTATTATTAAACTTTGTTAATAATAAAAAGAATGTGTAAGCTGTACAATAAGCTCAGACACAAGCACACCGTACACCCCTAGTAGCCCCATCTACCAGCCTTATGGACACCCTTATCTATACATTGTAGTCCCCTGGATCTCCATTTATTACCCCTCAATACATATCTGTTCTGTTTACCCCATACTTTGATAGCCTGTCTGCCAAATTGTTCCCTTGGGATCCATCAGATCTGAATCCTCAAGTCGCTTTTCAAAGTATTAATTTCTCTTAGTAAATTCCAGAAATTCCATGGTCCTTGATTATCATTCAATAAACAGCTTACTTAGGGTCCATGAAGACAATTTTTCTTTGGCATTATTAAGATTGAAACATAGAATAGAAATATCATGTAAAATTGAGGTTTAACTTCCATAAGCTGTTTGCATGGTTGTGCTACCCAGTTCACCGTCTAATATACTCCACCAATTTGCTTTCTTGTCCAAGTCTTGAAATATACAATGTGAAGGATAGAAGGTAACATAGCAATCAAGATATTTGGTCAATTTGCTTATTGACATTAGGTTAAAAGAAAACTGAGGAACAAATAAGACTGATGATAGGGATGAATGTGGAGTAGGAGAAACAATTCCAACTAAAAGGCAGATTATGAGGTACCATTAGAAAGAGTGACATGTTGGGATGAATTAAAATTCTTTCAACCTTGAGTTGGTGTTTGCTGACTGTGTATGGGCCTGACTACAGAGGTTAATTTCAGGTTTGGAAAGTAGGTTGATGTATTGGTTTATGGTTCAACTGAATAGAGCAAGTGTTTTTGGGGGCATGTGTCTACCACCCGTTATTGGAAAAATGTGACTGAAAGTAATATTTTCTGTTGAAGACAGATGTGTGGACATCTTATCAATGAAGCAACAGATCTGTAGTGGTTGTGTGGACCTGCTACTGGAAGGTTGGAGGCAGATGCCTGGACATTTTCCCAGTGAAGTAACAGATCTGTTGTGGTTATTGTGTGACATATATTAACACTAATTAACTAGTGTAGACTGGTACAAACATTGATTCCTTCTTGTGTGTGGACTGTTACTTTTGTTGAGGTGTATTGACTGTTGAGATGGTGACTGATGATTTGGCTACCTCCAGAATATCTATGTTGCAGTCAAATGTAAACTCCTCTATCACAATCACTCCTTTTGAAGGATTGAATTACTTGGAATGGTCCAAAGCTGTAAAACTATTTGTAGGAGGAAGAGGGAAGTTGGCTGTAATTTTATGTTGACTGAAGTAGATAAGGAGATCTAGGATCAAGCTATGGCCACCTATGCTAAGTAAAGACATTATGCCTGTATGTATCAATTGCAAGTGGAATCATCAGCATTTATGTTGGCTGAAGTAGACAACGGATCTAGGATCAAGCTATGGCCACCTATGCTAAGTAAAGACATTATGCCTGTATGTATCATTTAGAAGTGGAGTCATCAGCATGTAAACAAGGTAAAAAGAGTTTATCCTCATATTTATCTACTTTTACCTATATGCAGCAGGAGTTGGACCATTTATTAGGAAAGCGAGAAGGATGGAAGAGCTTATAAAGCAAAGAAGATTTGCGGTGGAAATGATTTGGAGGAAAGGATTTGTGGTGGAGAAGAAGAGCTTTCTGGTAGAGGAATGTAAAGAGGGAGAAATATTGATGCTCGGAGAGGAAGGGAGGGCTAAGGTTTTCATATCTGAAGCCGTTGCAGGTTGGATTAAAGGATTTGTCGAGGGTGCAATCCATATGGAGACCAAACCTGGCTGGAGGAGTGTGCTGAGAAAGGAATGGAAATTTTTCTCAATCGAGGAAAAAGTCAATAACAAAGGGTGTTTATGGGGATAGATGAAAAGTTGTAAGATGGTAGGAGACAAACTATCTGTTTGCCAGAAGGCAGAAATAGACAGGGATGGGTTGCAGTTGCAGAGGTACTACAGGAGTACGAGGAAACGTGCTGGCTGAAAAAATAGTTAAAGCTCTGGGGGTGGAGAAGAAGTTTCAGGAGTCAGAACAACATAAGGGGAATCAGGAGATAACGATTTGAAGGTGCTGATGGCGTCCCAAAGTTCATTTTGAGAGGAAGTAAGGATGATTGGAGCAAAATGTTGACAGTGACAGCAAAGAAGAAGGTTGAGACTGGAAAAGGATTCTTAACAATGTTATGATTAGAATTCCAAATGTGGATTCGGCTGTGATTTTTCCTTTCGATGACAGTAAAGCTGTTCTGGATATTGGAAATTCGAAGGCAGAATGCATGACTGTTGAAACTTCGGAAGGTGCAGTGACAGTGACGAACTGGACATCTTCTTGCAATGCAATTTCAATACCTGGAGGGAGTATGATCTTGAAGGTCTTTGGTCTGCCTTTTAACTTATGGTTGGATCAAGTCTTCGATAAGCTTGCAGGTCCGTGTGGTGGAGTTTTAGAAGATGTTTGCATTGTTGACCTTCACGCAGTGAAGATTACAGTTGCAGGTGCTAAACCGGATAGGATTCCCCGCACGATCGACTTCTTTACTGAAGGGAGATGATGGAAACTCTGGGTGGTATTGGAAGCTGAAGCATCCCTGTGGTGTGGAAGGCGAGAGGTTGAAGACGAGGCAGGTAGGGTTTGGTGGAGTACACGGGGCACATGCAGATTGGAAGGTCGGGGGGGGGGGGGGAAGGAAGAGAACGAAGAGTTGCTGGGCGCTGGAAGCTTGAGATTCATTGCATATTCTGGGGCTTTTTCAAAAAAGGCCTGCTGTGATGCTGATTACGAGAAGAAGAACGAAAAGGGAGAAGAAGAAGAACAGATGCTTTGAGAGAAAAATGAACAAGGACAGCAAGCTGGGCCGGGCTTTAGTGGGTCCACACGTGATATTCTCAGGGATCACGTGGATTTAAAAAAGGGTGATGAGATGGGCTTGGAACAAATGGACTTAAAACAGAAACTTAATAGTGGGCCTAGAAGGCGTAAATAAATTCGAAGAGTGGGCCTAGCTACGATGGGGGTTTGGCCCAAAAGTATATTGGGGGTAAGCAGATTAAAGAGGCGATAGAGAAAGTGGTGACAGAAGAGGCCGATTGCGAATTTGCGATGCCGAAGGATTTGTTAGGAGAACGGCAATGTTCCTCCCTAAAAATAAGGTTGCAGCGATGATTCGGGAGGAGGACGGGGATGCAAAAAGAAGTGCGGAAGAGAAGGGGGGGGGACTCAGGTGGACTGTAAAAACAATCATTTGCATCATGAGGAAGGGGAGGATGACGAAGACAAACAGGATATCACTGAGGTTGAGGGAGGAATTCAGGAAAGAGATGGAAAGGATGATTGGGGAGAGAAAGCGATAGTAGGAGAAGAAGAGAATGGCAGAAAGACAACTGGGGTTTTACTGAAGAGGGATGAAAATAAAAGCAGAAGAAGAGGGTGAAATCAGTCAAGGGGATGAGGTGGTTGGGTCTTTACGAGCAGAGGAAATGAGTGCGTTGGAAGAATTAGTGGGGAAGGGAGCAGGAAAAGTGGAAAAAGATTTAATTGAGAAGAAAAGAGGGGAGCAAGAGTCAGCCAATCAGGGATTGAAGAAAAGGGAATGGAGGAGGAAGGACATCAGATTGGAGATGGAGTTCGAATTTACAAAAGAAAGAAGTATAGAACTTTCCCCTTAGAATCAAGTAGAGAAGGAAGTTCAGGGAAGCATGGTGAAGTACTTATGATGGATGAGGTCCATGAGGTAGAGAAGAATTGTGATTTAGAGAAAGTGATAAACAAGGAAGTGGAAGTCAGCAAAATTCTGGGGCTATTCTTCTTAGGAGGGGAGGAGTTCGCCAAGGAAGCATTCAGATTGGTAGAGGAAAAAAATGGGGAGAAAGAGAGTAGTGCCACTCCAGTGCTTGACGGAAATTCTGACAATTCTGAAAAGGAAGTGATTGTTGGAGATGGCAGGGCGACTAGAATGGTGGGGATGCTCTCAAGAAGGAGGAGGATTTATCTGAGGGGATGTTGATTTCAGATGGGGTCAAAAGCCGGAGGGGAGTCTGGAAGAAGCTGTGAAAACACTTAATACAGTTAGGAGATTCAGAACTCAAAAGAACAGAAAAAGTCAGCAGCAAGTTCCAGTTCCAAAAGTCTTTGCACGGATAAAAGGAGGCTTATATGGCATTGGGCCTAATAAGCTCGTCAAAAAACACAAATGATCAGAGAAAAGGTGAATAGAAGAGTGTTCTCAAAAAGCTGATAAGAAGGAGGCTTATATGGCATTGGTAGGGTCTGGCTTTTGCCTTAGTGTTGCAGTGTGGTTTTCTTTTTCTTCTTTCTAGCTGGGTCAAGGATTATTGTTTGGGCTGGTTTGTTGGGCTTGGGGTTTCTTTGCTTGGTATCTATTTTTACTTCCCCTCGGGTGATTGCTTTTCACCTTCCTCTGTAATTGCTTTTTTTTTTTTATTTAATAAAATTTTTATTTTATCTTAAAAAAAATCCTAGTGTCATAGCAAAGATTACTTCCTTCCAGCAATGAAGTATATAATTAAAATCCAGGTCTGCTGCTCTCCACAATAAATTGAACTTGTAATCGATCAAACCACCTCTGCTAACACATTAACAGACAACATCACTATTCTACTTCAATAGACAGCATCAGACCAATCATCTTTCACCTGTAATATTACCAAATAACAGTCCTCATTGAACTGCCGAGTGGAGGGAACTAATCCACAACCAAACACACTTCAACACCACGAGACAGAAGAACATATACCCTTTTTTCTGATCAGATCTCCTGTGGTAACTCTGAGACTTCCTCTCTATGTTCAGAGAAAAGAGAAAAGAAGGAATCAAGATCATTCCAAGGTCCTTAATGGTTCTCTGATACCATGTAACACAACCTGATATTAATCTTAAAATAAATAAAATATAAGAGAAAGAAAGAGGAATGGCAGAGTTGAGAAAAAAGAGAGAAAGAAGAATAGAAAGATTGATGGGAGTTAAATTGACCTCTCCCATCTACTGCACATTTATATTTGTAATAGTAATCTCAAGTACAATGACCATACTACCCTTGATTACAAATGAACTGACCAAACTACCCTGTGACCTATACATAATACTTGTAAAGGACTATAACCAGCATATTTTCTACCTGACTTTGAGTTGTCTTAGTGCGTTTGAATTGTAAAAAGCAACATGCAGAGACAGGGAACATAAATTGATCAATATTCTCTACTAAGAGAAAACTGTAAGATATTCAGTACCAAATATGACCCCTTTAGTTGATAAAACGTGAGTCATTTGGCTCAGATTTCTGTACATGATATATATACTCCAAGCTATAGGTTATGATCGTGGAATGGTTGAGGTTGGACTTTGTTGGCAAAGATACCTCTGTTGAGAAGTTTGCTTTAATATAATGGGAATAAATTATGATCTATTGCTGGAATAATTTTTGCAAATGATGTATGCAGGATGCAAATGAAGATTCAAAATCTGTAACAAAGGCTGTTGCCATGAAGGGTAAGATATTTCCTCTTGCATGTTCTGTTCAAGCCTCAAAAGTTTTCGTTACTCTTTAATTTTATACATTCTGGTCATTCAGATGAATACTTTCAATCAAATAGTTAACATTGCCACTTCTGAAATGGTTTGGGTGGAACTGAAGGAGTTCTCAGTATCTGCATGTCTTGGATTGATGATAATCTATGCTCTGTTAAGAACAGTCTAGTGTTTTAAAAGTGAGAGGTGCAAGAAAAGCCCAAGCGCCTTGTAGGTGCAAGATGATGCACATGCATGGACAAAGCAAAGCATAAATGTTTGGAAAATTAAAAAAAAAAGCCATTAAACATTAATACATAAAATACATAAACATAAGTACATAACATATAAAACAAATTCAAAGTGAAAGTGAAAGCAAATAGGTATGGATTAAATCATATTTTTTAAGTGCTCAACAATTCATACATGCAAGACTCACAATGCGTTTGTCTATCTACTAGTTGCATTACTTTGAGTAGCTAGTGTGATATTAGATGCTGTTGTACTGTGTATTTAGTGATGCACGGGTAATATGGTCCGTTCACATTGTGTTATGTTCTATCTAATAAAATAGGGAGTAGGTGCCACCCACTCCATACTTTTTGGCTTTCTATTCCTTTGCTTTCTCTTCTTCCGTCTCTCTTCTTTGTTCTATGACTGTTATCATAGTATTGGAGCAGGTTCAGACAGGGATCTGATTGATCTCTCTCTTTCCTTTGTTCTATGATAACTGTTATCATGTTATCATGTTATCATGACACTCCACTAAGTTGCACCCATCTAGCTTCATCATCATTATTTGAAGGGTATGGATTCACCAGTCCCCACATACCCACATGATGTAATCTTCGTGTCTTTCAAGGCTGCCATCCTAAATTCATGACAATAGTTCAAACAAATAGTTCTGATTTCAGAGAAGAAGAAGAAGAGAAGAAGAGAAGAAAAAGGTTAGAGAGGCAAAAAGTGTAGGCTGGTGGTGCCAGCTTTATATTTATAGTCTAGGGTAGCCAAACATAATAAAATAAAGAGAAAAGACAAAAGTGTCCTTTGTGGCACATAACTACTTAATATTACATCACTCCCCTTCAGGTTGGGGCATAGTCGCATAGATAACAATCATCCTCAACTTGTCACAAAGATCATAGTGCTGCAAGGAGTTTAATCCCTTGGTGAGAACAACTGCAAATTGTCCTTCAGAGCTGATATATGGAGTGCACACTTCTCTTCTCCAGTTTCTCTTTGATAAAGTGTTTATCTACTTCAATCTGCTTGGTTCTATCATAGAGAGCAGGATTGACTGCAATATTGATAGCAACCTTATTGTCACAGTAGAGTGACATGGGGCCATCAAGGAGAAACTCCACTTCACCTAATAGATTTTTAATCCATAATATTTCAGCAGCTCCATGGGACATGACTCTGTATTCTGCTTCTGCACTAGATCTGGCCACTACACTTTGTTTCTTACTTTTCCAAGTAATAAGATTTCTCCCCACAAAGGTACAATAGCCACTTGTGGATTTTCTGTAATTCACCAAACCTACCCAATCAACATTAGTGTAAACCTCAACTTTCATATGTCCATGCTTCTTGAAGAAAGGCCTATCCTTGGAAATTTCTTCAGGTACCTGAGAAAAAGCCTATCTTTGGGTTCATGCATGAACTAACTAAGGACTCCTAGCATATGCAATATCTGGCTAGTCATAGATAAGTATAGGAGTCTACCCACAAGTCTTTGGTACTGCTTTGTATCTTTTATGGGCTTATCATTGTAGTCCCCGAGTCTATTATTTATATCTATAGGAGTATTAGCCGGTTTGGCCCTAAGCTTTCCTGTATCTTTCAAGAGATCTAGGTTATACTTCCTTTGAGAGATGAAGATTCCCTATTGAGAGCAGGCAACTTCAACCACAAGAAAGTAACGTAGGGGTCCTAGATCCTTCACCTCAAACTGAGTGGCCAAGAACTTCTTTACCCTCTGAATCTTTGAGATGCAATCACCAATGATAACTATGCCATCCACATAAACAATCAAGGCTGCCGTTCTTCTTCGTTCCTTCTTCACAAAGAGAGTGTGATCAATTTGACATTGTTTAAAACCCATTTGTTGAATTGCTAGGTGAAATCTGCTAACCAAGCCTTCGGTGATTGTTTGAACATAGAAAGACTTCTTCAAATTGCATACTTTTTGTTCATTGCCCTTAGAACAAAACAAGGTTTAAAATGTCGATGTCGATGGAAATGTTGCTCACCCAAATAAAGGACATATGTCGAAATATCGGAAATTTTGAATGGAAATATTGTGAAAAGTTAGACATTGGGGAAATATTGTGAGATATATGGAAATATGCACTAATATTTTATGAAATGATAAAAGAAACTTAATTACACCTTTCTAGATTATTATCATATTCCAAACCATCAAAGAAAGCCAAGAAACTAATATTCAGCCTCAGAACAAAATGATGAACAACGAAGTTGTCCTATAGATTTCAACCATTTAATATTTTAACATTTTATTAGTATGAAATAATATCACATGCATGCATCTCTTTTGGTTCTAATAAATAATTAGAATAAAATCATATAAACCATATAAACCTTTAAATATTTGTATTATTATAAAATATTTTATTTATGCATTTTATTTTCTTCTAATAATTAATTAGTTTAATCATTTTTATTGGCTTTTATAATGAGAATCTACAATATTACCTTATCGAAATTTTGATCCTTGATTGAACCCTCAAAATTTTCAAAACCAAAACTAGTAAGCAAGGGAAGAACTTAAAATTTTGTTTAATCAACACATTTTCTTCTTCTTCTACCTTTTATTTTCTTCTTTCCTATAACAAAAGTAGGGGTTCAACCCCTATATTTTTTGAATTTTCTTTACTTGTTTTTCTTCTCATAAAATGTTGATTTTCTAGACTTAACATGAAATTTATACTTCTCTTATGAAAATTATGAATAATTATTAAGGAAAGATGGTTATGGAACCTAGGGAACTACCCTGAGATATATGGTTTTACTTAAAAAAATCCATGGCGCCCGCCTAGGCGACAAGGCGCCCCCCGTCACCTAGCCTTGCCTTGGCACCTTGAAAAAAACTTTGTCCTAATTTTTTTATGGGCTGTTTCTGCTTGGAGTTCATACTAATTCACAATTATATCCCTATTAAGCTTATGTGATTACAATGATTTGAATTAATTAATGGATAACTAAAATACCCTTAACCATGTTATCATCTCAACCTTAAACGGTTCAGATCTGAATCTATTTTAACTTGCTTCCTTCAATTTCTTTCCCAACTGCAGACCTTCCCTTTACATATGATACACATGGTTATGGATATAGATGCACCTGGGTATTGTATATTGAAATGATTTTTTGAAGGTGTAACACTGTTTTCAAAGTTGAATAGTTTGCTATATTGTCTTGAAAGAATCCATTTATTAGCAGTATAATCTCACTTGGTTGATCTGTTTTGAACTCACTAATTAGGAAGGTTTCATTATGTGCAGCAATCAAGCGGCAAATGCAGAAAGATGTGGATGAAGTTGGAACAATTGCTCGTTTTGTAAAATCAAAAATTGAAGCGCTTGATAGAGAAGTAATGCGATTTATTCCATTCCTCGTATTTATTTTCTGTGGTTGAATGTTCTCTTTTCTGAGAGGGGGTTGTTGGGGCATACTCAAACATGACATTCAAATGGTATTTAATGATTTTTTTTATTTGAGATGGGGGGTGATAAATCCGGGTTTGAATTCTACATTCATTATATTGGTCCCAAAAGAGAGTGGTGCAAACCATCCAAGAGAGTTCAAACCTATCATCTTGGTAAACAACTTATTTAAAATTATTACTAAGGTGCTTTTTTGGAGGATTAGAGTTGTGCTTCCTTCCATCATTTCTCCTAATCAAGGTGCCTTTGTGAAGAATGGGAAAATCATTTATCAGATTTTAATTGCTAATGAAAGTGTAGAGGTGTAGAGTTGTAGGGCAGTAATGTCTTTATTTATATTGCTGTTAGTGTCAGTAAGTTAAGTTAGTGTCAAACTGTCAATAAGTTAAGTTAGTTATTTCTGTTATTATTTTAAGTTGCTGACATGTTATGTTGGTAGGGGCAATATTGTAAGTGTACTTTTATATATATATATATATATATATATAACTGAGTGGGGCGACAAGCCTATTCACTCTCTTCTCTGAAATCTCTCTTTGTCTTCTCTCTTCTCTCTCTCCCTATTCCATTCTTTGTTTTGAATTCTCATCTAGAGTAGAGCTGATCTCAGTCTCTACTAGACAAGTTGGTATCAGAGCCAACCTAGGGTTTCTCATGAGAACTTCCTAGGGTTGGAAGTTTTAGCAAGATTTGGCAATCGGCTGGTTCTTGGAGATCATTGGCAGGGTGCAACACCTTTTCAAGAGCTATTTGGAGTCTTGGAAAGAGTCCGGTGATCAGGAAGAATCAGAGAGAATGAAAGAAACTAAAGATTAGGGTTTAAACTGAGGATTGGAAGTGGCGGCCAGTGTTTTCTGGGTAAGATTCAATTTTTTCTTGAGATCGACTCCAATCAAAAATTGATCAGAGTGATCAGGGAGGAGCGGTTTCTTTTTTTTTCCTGATTTCTCCTGAATTTTTTTAGGGTTTTCTTCAGTTCTTTTAAAACCCTATTAGTCTGAAACCCTATTGACTGTGATCAAATTTTGGGTAAGGATTGATCCTTTTCAGCATTCCAGATTGGTTTGTAATGAGTTTTTGAAGATTATCAGACCTGTTTCAGATTTTCTAGGTGTTTGCTTGACCCCTTTCAGCTTCCCAATTCGGCTGTTAGCAGTTTTAGGGTATCATTTACCCTTATTCAGCATAAAAATCAGTTCTTTGTGATAAATTCTTGGTAGATGTGGCAGGAGCTGAGTTGAAAACTCAAGGGGAAGGTGTTTTCGGGACTGGAAACATGACTGAAAGTACTTTTCAGATTACCACAGTGGAGTTTGATGGATCAAATTACTTGGAGTGGGCCTAATCAGCTTTGATGGCCATTGGGGGTATAGGGGAATTAGGCTATGTGATGGGAGATGTGAAGAAACCAGCCAAGGAAGACCCATTATATGCCAAATGGATTCAGGAGAACTATTTGGTCATGACTTGACTATGCAATTAAATGCAGCCTCATATCAGCCGAAATTATTTATTGGCCAAAACTGCCAAGGAAATTTGGGACATCATGAGAGAAACCTATTCTCAACTACTTAATGTCGCTAGGGCCTATGATGTGAAGTTAATAATTTTAAGCAGGGTGAGAAACCGATCTCAGTTTACTTCTCTACCTTGAAGTCTTTGTGGCATGAAATTGATCATCTGGAGATAGTGGAAAATCCAGAAGGATGCACAAACATACAGGAAATAGGTTGAAAGAAATAGAGTTTTTGAATTCCTAGTAGGTCTAAACCCAGAATATGACATTGTGAGGCAGCAACTTCTCACTAGAGAGAATGTGACCTTGTCTCAGGCTTATTCCTTAGTGCACAGTGAAGAAAGTAGGAGAAAAGTTATGCTACAATATTAACCTATGGAATCAGCCCTAGCAGCAGTAAAACCGAAGTTTGGGGGTGACAAAGAAAGGGATATGAAGAATTTGTTTGTGATCATTGCAAGAAACCGAAGCATACCAAGGATACATGTTGGAAACTTTATCCACATCTATCTAGTTCCAGTAAAGCTCAGAAACAAAAAGGGGAATACTAATGTGGCAACTATTACTGATGGTACTTCATCCTCTTATCACAAGAACCACACCCCTGGACACCTTGGCTGCTGTCTGAGCTACCCTAACTCAGTTGGAAAGTGAGGTTGGCACTTCAGCACCCTCATCTCAGCCACCAGCTACATCTGTTCCTTCCACTTCTGCATTTGCTCATTCAGGTACAAGGGCTTCAGCATTTCATGCTTCAGCCCCAGGTAACAATAAACCTTGTTGGGTTATAGATTCAGGTGCATCTGACCATATGATTGGCTTATCCTCATTGTTTAATACTTATTGTTTGTCCTCTGGTAGAGACAAAGTGTCCATCGCTGATGGCTCCCTTGTTCCAATTTCTGGCAAGGGAGACATTAGATTGTCTGATGCCATCTCCTTGTCCTCAGTTTTGCATGTTCCTAAACTTAGTAGTAACCTGCTTTCAGTTAGTAGTATCACTAAAAATCAAAACTGTTTAGTGACTTTCTTTCCTGATTGGTGTGTTTTTCAGGATTTGGAGACAAGGAAGGTGATTGGGATTGGCTGTGAGACGAATGGAATCTACTTGCTTGGAGGGTATTCACATGGGGAAGATAGAGAAGTGGGGAGGTCACTAGTTTCTTAGTCTGTTAGTCAGGTTATGCTTTGGCATAATTGATTGGGTCATTTGTCTTTTAGATATTTGAAGAGTTTATTTCCTAGTTTGTTTAAGTCAGTTCAAATGTCTAGTTTAAAATGTGAAACCTGTGAACTTGCAAAGCACTGTAGAACAACTTATTCTTTGAGCAATAAAAGAAGTAATATTCCTTTTGAAATTGTGCATACCAATGTTAGGGGACCATATCACATCACTGTTATGGGGCGATATAGATATTTTTTGCTGTTTGTCGATGACTACACTCATTTCTCATGGGTTTATCTTATGCGCTCTCGAGATGAGGTCCCTACCCTAACTCGGATTTTTCATCAGATGGTTCTGACTTAGTTTGGGGTCAAAATCAAAGCTTTCAAATCCGATAATGCTAAAGAGTACTTTGCAAAACCATTGGCTTCATATCTCCTTGATCATGGGGTTATCCATCAGAGTACTTGTCCTCGTACACCTTAGAAAAATGGGGTTGTTGAGAGGAAAAATAGGCATATATTGGAAGTGGCTAGAAGCACTATGTTGACTTCCAATGTTCCCATACGTTTTTGGGGAGATGTTATTCACACTACTGTGTACCTCATTAACCAATTCCTTCACGGGTCCTTGACATGAGAACTCCATTTAGCCTATTATGCCCTGATAAAGACTTGTTTACCATTCCTCTTAAGACCTTTGGATGCACTTGCTTTGTTTAGATTCTTGGACCTCATCGCTCTAAATTTGATCCTAAAGCTTTGAAATGTATCTTTCTTGGGTATGCACAAAATAAAAAAGGATACTGCTGCTATGAGCTTGTTTCTGGGAAACAGTTTGTTTCTATGGATGTCACATTCTTTGGGGATGTACCCTATTATCATAGAGTTTCTTCTTGGGGGAGAGTAGTGAGATGGGACCTCATTCATCATAAATTCCATTACATGTCCCAATCACTGAAGGGGAGTGTAGTGAGGAAGCCTGTCAAAGATATTGGGATTTGAGGGTGTATCACAAGCGGTGGAGGCAGGTTGATTTTGGTCATCAACAATCAAGGCCAGCTCCAATTCTCTTTGTGGCTCCAGATTCAGGTACCACAATCCCTTTATCCCTTGCTACGGATGAGATACCTTCCATGCCTCCCATTGTTGAGCCTTCGCCTTCTCCTTTGGATGATCTTGATCTTCCAATTGCAGTTTGTAAGGGGAAGTGCCGCTGTACCTCATCTATAGCCCATTGTATTTCTCAGTTTCTTTCTTATGATCACTTGTCTTCGTCCTATAAGTCCTTTTTGGCATTTATTGCTACTGTTACCATTCCCAAAACAATGCATGGAGCCTTGTCAGCGCCTGAGTGAAAGGATGCAATGAAAGTGGAGATGGATGCTCTTCTAGAAAACAATACACAGGGGTTAGTTGATCAGCCTAAAGGGAAGAAACCGGTTGGGTGTAGATGGGTGTTTACAGTGAAACATAATGCTGATGGCTCTGTTGAAAGATATAAGGCCATATTAGTTGCAAAGGGGTTTAGATAGACATATGGCATAGACTATTTAGAAACTTTTGCACCGGTAGCCAAGATGAATACTATCAAAGTTCTATTATCCATTACAGCAAATTTCTCATGGCCATTATTCCAGATGGATGTCAAAAATGCCTTCATCAATGGTGATTTGCAGGAGGAGGTGTATATGGAGTTGCCTCCTGGATTCTATAATGCAATAGCGCAGAAGAAGGTTTGCAGATTGAATAAAGACTTATATGGACTGAAACAATCTCCTAGAGCATGGTTTGATAGATTCAGACAGGCCCTTGAAAAATTCGGCTATGTATAGGCCCAGTTAGATCACACTCTTTTCATTAAGAAGATGGATTCCTCCTTGACTCTACTTGTTGTATATGTCGATGACATTGTTGTGACAGGTAGTGATACCCGTGGGATTGACTCTCTTAATCAATTGCTTCATCAAGAGTTTGAGGTCAAAGACCTAGGAGAGCTACGATATTTCTTGGGAATTGAGGTAGCACTATCCAATCATGGGATTTTTGTCTCCCAAAGGAAGTATGTTCTTGATCTTTTGGAAGAAACTGGAAAACTAGGAGTTAAATTTGCTGACAAACTATTGAATAGAATTATAGGATAAGTGCAAAAGGTGGAGAGCCCCTTGAATACAAGGTTATGTTTCAACGGTTAGTTGGGAAGCTTCTTTATGTTTGCCTCACACGACTGGACATTTCTTATGTCGTCAATGTTGTTATCCAGTACATGCATTCCCCCAGAACCACTCACCT